TGGTTTGGTGAAAAATTTGTGCGTTTAGGCCAGGGTTTGACTTCGTGTGGACGGGGCCTCAGTCATGAGGGATGCCCGCTGCAACATCTCCACATAGCCAGCTGCTGTTTGATGCCCCTGCACAACCTGAAGCTCCATTGTTCCATTGAAGGAAAACGCACCCCAAATCATGATGGCATCTCAGGTGGGATCTCCTTTTCATGCCAGTAACGTTGGAAGCCATCAGGACCATCAAGGTTCAATTTTTTCTCATCAGAGAAAACAACTTTCTTCCACCTTTCAATGTCCCATGTTTGATGCACCCTTGCAAAGTACAAACGGGCAATTTTGTGGCGTTGAATAAGACGTTTTTTGTTTCTGAAGCCCTTCTCTCGCAGATGCCGTCTGATGGTTATTGGGCTGCAGTCAGATCCAGTAATGGCCTTAATTTGGGTAGAGGTTTGTCCTGTGTGTTGACGGACAGCCAATCGGATCCTGCAGCTCAGAGCTGGTGAAATTTTTTTGGGTCTACCACAACTAAAAAATGCAAAATAACCATCTTACTGCGTCCAACCTCAGCAGCGATCGCACGTTGTGAGAGGCCTTGCTTATGCAACTCAACAATCCTACCACGTTCAAAGTCAGTCAGCTTTTTTGCTTTTGCCATCAGGAGGTCTTGACAGAAAATGACATGGAATCCAGATTTTTGCACAGCTTTTGGCTTTTAAAGACTATGGTCCTAAACTTTTGATCAGCTGAAAAAATAACGTTTGAGTGTAAATGCAGTTTTCTGAAAATTCCCTGCTCAAAAGTTCTTGTTTCTCACACTGATTTTTTTCCTTTAACATTGTGAAGCTCTACTTTGAACCTTCTTAAGATCCAATAGTGCAAAAAATGCTAATTCTTGCAATTTTTTGACCGGTCTTAAGATTTTGATCAGGAGTGTATACCCGTTTTATCCCCTAATGGATTACTCAGCTGTTTTAAATTCTGTCTGTTAGGCTAGTTTCCACCTATAGTCTTTGGTATGTTTATGTTCCATAAAAAGCAGGACAAAACAAGTGAGGAAAAAAAAGTAGGTCAACAACATCTAAGCAGCAAGTTTTCCGTATTATCAAGCGTTAAACAAGAAGGAAAGTTTTGGACAATTCATTAAATGTCCTTTTTACTTTGACTATGTCTTTTAGGGGATGTCATCGTCTACATTAATGATGTCTGCGTTCTGGGAACGACCCACGCCGACGTGGTGAAACTCTTTCAGTCCGTTCCCATCGGTCAAAGCGTGACACTGGTGTTGTGCCGCGGCTACCCTTTACCGTACGACCCAGAGGACGCCGCCAACACCAACAACACCACCACCATCATCTCCCCGCTGGGCATAATGGAGCAGCGGCCCATCATGGTGAACGGCAGGACGGGCTATGATAACTACCTGGACTACCTGGCTCGCACGGCGCGCTTCGTCACAGACCCCAGTCAGGATCACGTGAACTCCCAGCAGCAGCCGCTTCTCACCGCTCACCCAGGCGACACCCACCTGGACGGCTCGCTCCAAGCCAACACTGGCACCACGCCGCCTGACAGCGTCTCCATGGCGTCATCCGGAGCCACGCAGGGGGAGCTGCTGACTGTGACCATGGTGAAGGGCGTGGACGGGTTCGGCTTCACGATCGCAGATAGCCTAACGGGTCAGCGCGTCAAGCAGATCCTGGAACCTCAAGGCTGTCCGGGCCTGTGCGAAGGTGACCTGATCTTGGAGATAAACAAGCAGCCCGTGGCGGGATTCAACCACACGCAGGTGGTGGAGCTGCTCAAGGAGTGCGCCGTGGGAGCAGAGGCCAGCCTGGTGGTCCAGAGAGGAGGCTCAGGTAAGACCAGAAGATTGCTTTTTATGAGGAGCCAGATGTGGGATTGGAAGTGTTTGAGTTTATTGGAATCAATGATTGAATTCTGCAATTACCAACAGAGACTGGCTGTCAGAAAGGTCCCTCTTCTCTATGAGGTCATATGATCAACAGCTTCCTTTTTGATATTTTTCATTTGATGGTCGTTTTTTTGTTTTTATCTTCAAACCCAAATTTCCAAAATATATTGGAGGGTTTTCATCTAAATGAAATTTAAGCCTTTCATCCATTTTGCTTTGATACAATTAAAATTAGCTCCTGTGCTCAGTCTTGTGCACCGCTGTAGGCTGTTATCTGCAGAATCTCTTGGTATCTGGCTGTTGTTGGCTTTCTGAGTGTTTGATACGACGGGTGACCTTGTAAGATGCGTGTGTTAAGACGTCAGTGTTTGTCTTTAAAGTCAGAAGCTGTCAGTGAGCTTCAGCCTACTGTCAGCGTCACTGATGGTGAATGTAAAGGATCAAACAAAGAAGAACATGTTGTTTCAAAGTCACGGTTTTTGTGAAGTTAGAAATGAGACTATGACGGATATTTATTTATCCACCTTGGATAAAGTGACACGTATTCTGTATTAGTCTGCTGAAAATGGATCTGTTCAGAGGTAATGGGGGGAAGAAAACAGGGAAAGAGCTCAAATAGTGGAGTATATCAGGTGGGCCGATCCTAATAATAGTTTTATGGAACACCTTCTTGTTCATTCTCAGCATTCAGGATGAAGAGTTTAAAACTGCCATTATTAGTTAATGTCAACAACA